AAATTTTATGTATATGCAACCATTATAGATTTCCAAAGAAAAATGCAACTGACCTAGCACACTGGGAATGTTTTGTTCAAGAAGCCAACCAACATGCATCATGGAAAGCAACCAATTATAGCCGCATTTGCAGTGACCACTTTGAAATCACCGAATACATCATCCCTCCTTCATCAAGTGGAACATGCCGTTTAAAAAAAAAAGCAATACCATCAAGGTCCAATATCACACGTACAGCTCTACCACTACCACTACCACTACCAGATGAATTACAAAGCAGACTCGAAGTATCTAACAAGAGACCATTCCCTCCAACCAGTCACGAAAACCTGATACCACCTGCCAAAGTTGCCAAACCTCTACCTGCTGAAAAAAGAGATGCATTAGAGCAAAAACTAACACAAAAAATTCGGAATTTGCAACAACAGCTACGTCGGTCTAAACAAAAGGCAAAAACCATGGATGAGGTGATCAAAATCATGAAAGATAAACTTGTTATCAGTTCAAAGGAGGCAGAAACTCTGCAGGAAAACTTCAAAAATACACATTTAGAATTTTTATATAACTTTAAAGAGAATCTAACATCTTTGCCTTGCGGAAGGAGATACACAGATGAAGTTAAGGAATTTGCGTTAACTCTCTACTTCTACTCACCAAAAGCGTACAAATATGTTAGATCAATAATCCCTCTGCCAAACCCATCTTTAATCAGGAAATGGTCCACTTCCATTAAATGCGACCCTGGATTTATTGAAGAAGCATTTACATCGCTATCCAAACAAATTGATGCTTCCCCTATAAATAAGGACTGTTGTCTGGTTATCGATGCCATGGCAATTCGCAAGCAAACATTATGGAACCCCCAAAAGGACCAGTATTCAGGTTTTGTTGATCTTGGCAATGAAATTCCAAATGTTCAGTGTGACAAACTGGCATCTGAGGCATTGGTTTTCCTCTTAGTTGGAACAAGAAGCCATTGGAAATGTCCAATTGGATACTTTCTAATCGACAAAATCTCAGCCAAAGACCAAGCGATGTTGGTGTCAAAATCCTTGGAAAAGACTGCAAAGGCAGGTCTGAAAGTGTGGTCAGTGACAGCTGATGGAACAGCAGTAAACCTCCGAACATTCGAAATACTTGGTTGTAAATTATCCGGCACGTATGATGAAATGAAAACATCATTTAAGCATCCAACAACTGGGGAAGACGTTTATATAATCCTTGATCCATGTCACATGTTGAAACTGGCTCGTAATGCTCTTGGCCACCTTGGATCCTTTGTTGACGGTGACGGAAATGAAATAAAGTGGCACTACATCAAAGAATTACAGCAACTCCAACAACAGAAAGGACCTCATCTTGCCAACAAGCTCTCAATGAATCACCTTAAATATGAAAAACATAAAATGAATGTTAGACTGGCTGCACAAACTCTTAGTTCATCTGTGGCAAATGCAATCGAGTTTCTAGATGTCTCTACTAAACATCATAGTTTTTGTGATAGTCAAGGAACAGTCAAATTCATCCGCACAATAGACCAACTTTTTGACATGCTCAATAGCAGAAATCCTATTGGAAAAGGGTTCAAGACACCTCTACGTCTCCAAAGCAAGGACACATGGCAAGAAATTTTTTCCACCACAGCGAAGTATCTACTGTCGTTAAAAACTAATACCCCCATAACACAACTACTTTCAACAACTGCACGTAAAACATTTATAATCGGGTTTGTAACCTGCATCAAGTCAACAATTTCTATGGCTACACAAATGCTTTGTGCACAAACCAACCCATTCAAGTACCTATTAACCTACAAATTCTCGCAGGATCATATCGAACTGCTTTTCTCATGTATACGATCCAGAGGAGGATGGAATAATAATCCCAACTGTTTACAATTCATGTATGCACTTAGAAAAATGCTGATGAGGAATGCCATCACTGCATCAAAAAACGCAAATTGTGTGGACTTCACTGGTTGCAACAGCATTATTCCACTTTTTCATGTTAGAAAACACAAAGCACCACCAACTAACAACGAAAACCAAGAAGAAAGCACATCTGATGAGATAAATGCCATGTGTGAACAGTTGGACCGAAGTGGGCACAGCGAATTTACTTCTAATGTGCTTTTTTACATCGCTGGGTACATAGTATCAAAGCTAATGGAAAACCTACCTTGTTCTGCATGTAAAAGAAGCCTTTTCGCTCTGCCAAAACAAACCCCTGTAAATGGGCATGATTACACCTCCAGTTTATATCATGAGGCTGGCAAAGCATCGTCTTTCACTAGATTCGTCAATCAAGGTGGTTTACAAATCCCATCAACCTCGGTATTTCGAACAATCGAGTACAGTGAACACGTTTTTAAAGCAACGGTCTGTGGTAAAGATCATCAACAAATAAACAACGAGAAAAATCTAAAGAAAAAAATGATAATCAACGTATGTCACCACTTCACACTGGATACAACAGTGGATGTTTTCACAGATCATGAAGACGGCGACAACGAACTGTTAATCGAAGACGACCACAGAACAAAACTGATAAAATGCACCGCGGACAAGTATTTCACGTTGCGATTATTCACATTCGGCAAGAAATACATAGAACAAGTCGTCAACAAAGGCAAACAAAGTGATAGACACAGACTAAATAAACTTATATTGTTCAACAATCAATGAAGTTGTTATGTTAATACGTTAAAATAAAGAATTACTTATCTTTCATCTCAAGTTTCATGTAAACGTTCCAATCATTCAAATATGGACTCGTTGTCTGACTTTTGTCTCCAAACTTCTTCGATGCAGTGTTCATTTTCTGCCCATCGGTCACTTTTTTCCTCGCAGTTTGACTCGGTAGGGTTCAAGATATGTTTTAAATACACTTTGAATACAAAAATATAGCTTGAAACCCTAAAATTGACGACAATTTTCGATCCATTCGCCCGAACATCAAAATCATTGATGTGTGCACGCCATGCCAAATGGTCTCGCGCAGGTATCGCGAGAATGTCTCGCAACTGAAACGCGCGTGTCTGGACGTAGAACACGCGCGGCTGGAGGTAAAATTTGGCTTCATCCGATTATAAGCCAATCCTATTGGAGGTAGCGTTCCAGGTATTTTTAGTTCACTGGTATAAAGTCAATTACGCTCTGTCGAAAGTCGCGGGTTTTCTCCGGGTACTTCGGTTTCCTCCCACAGGGAAATTTGACAGGGTGTGTTAGGTACAAGGGCCCATAGTAATTGGCATATGCTGTTGTGGTGACCCTGCGGCCTGCCCTAGTTGCCGGCAAAGCTAAATAAATAAATAAAAAACCTTGAAAAAGGCTAATTTAATTGAGACCCCTATACAAATAGTTATAACCGATTCCAGTGCAGTGGCTAAAACTAGAAAGCTGCCATTGTAAATAGACAGACATGCAGTTCTAGGAAAAGACATTAGGAAAATTGCATAGTTCAAAGTCGTATTATGACGTATTATCTGATCGCTATTGGTAAAGTTGTTTCATAAAGCCAGTCCTATGTCTGCTGGCGAGCTAAATAGTTAATTTTGTTTTCTTTCTCAATGTTTTCCGCCAATGTTTTCCGGACGGAACAAATTAACGTACATAAATCATAATTAGGTGCCATTTTGTAATATAGCGGTGAAAGGAAAGTCAAGAACATCACAACAATTGCATTCCATGACAAAATCTCTATACTGACTATAGCGTAAACGAGTTTATGAGCATATTCTGTTGCCTGTCGTGTATTCTTCTTGTCTCTCACATTCTTTTTTTGTAACAAAAATTTGTGAAAGAGTAGTTTATAAACAGTGGCGTAGCCAGAGTCAAAGTTTTGGGGGTGCGAGATCCGAACGCCGAAGGCGTGAGCCATTCTAGTGGGATCCGGGGGCATGCCCCCCCGGTGAAATTTTGAAATCTAGACTCCCGCAAATGCGATTTCCTGCATTTTCCGGGTGAGATTTTGCAGAATAAAGTTGGCATTCTGAGGATTATATATTGCATAAAAGACATGATTTTCCTTGATTTCACAAATGTACCAATCTTCTTTTCTCCCAAATGTAATAAATTGTCAAAGCCATCTATAATGCAGAACTGAAGTTGGGTTATTCTTTTCACTTTATGACCCCTTTATCCCTAGAGAAGTGTGTAAAAAGGCTTACTTTGAGTTCAAATAATGCGAAGTTCTTTTATTCGACAGTGAGACACTGTTCGTTTCTACAATGCTTTTTAAAAGAAATGGGGACTCAGAGTCTGATAAAGTGTAAATTTAAATATTTGAAAGAATAGAGCAATAGTTGAGAGTAAATGTTTAATTTAAAAATCTAAACTAAACCCATTCTTCTTGGGGCCATGTCTACGAACAATTGGACAAGATTGTCCACATCAAGTTGCTCCAACAAGTCGTCTTCGATGGACATCAGCATCAGACTATTCAGTCTTTCCTGCTGCATGGTTGTCCTAAGTCGAGACTTTATCAACTTTAGCTTCGAAAATGTCCTTTCGGCACTTGTTGATGTGAGGGGCAGTGTCAAAGCAATTTTCATGAGCTTTGTTAAATTTCCATAGCATTCGGGTTCAGCTTGCAATGCTTTGAACAGGTCGTCGAAACTGGCTTTTCTCTTCTCTAATTTTGCCTTCTCGAGGATGTTAGCAAGCAGCGACGATGTCTGTAGGGAAAATATTTCGCTCTCTACTTCATCAACATCAAGATCGCATTGGAACCATTGGGTCGCGACAGAAATATGTTTCCAAGCTTCTGGATTGCCTATTCGAGAAGGATTTAAGTATCCGAGACCCATCAAAACTGGTGCGTTATTCTTGTCAAATCGACTTTCAATGGAGCTAACCATAAGATCAAGTACCTAGATTTCGAAAAATACATAGCTGTAAATATTTTTATAAGCGATTGGAATGCATGTTTCCAGAACAATTCATTATTCATATAACCTACATTATAGTAAAAGGAAATTCTAAACTTGTCTTTCGACGTAAGATGGACTGCTGTGTCAGGATTATCGTCGATCCTCCTAGGAAGTTTGTGGGTACGCTCTTGTCTTGGTTCTTCGATATTCAAGCTGCGACATTTTGTAACAGTAGTTTCCCAAAATTCCTCAAATTTGGGCTCGCATCGTAGAGCCTGTACTGTGCTTAGCAGATCAGCAACTCTTTCGCAGCCGGTGACGACATCCAAGTCCTCTGACTGCAGCTTATCTGACACTCCCTTACTGAGTAGCAGGACTTTCTTCAGCACCTTAATAAAAATGATCAACTCACATCATTAAATTTTCATTAAAAATAAAAATGAATGAAATATAAATCACGGTACGTTTGTCATCAAAACAGTACCTCCAAAGCCAAAACAAATTCAAAATCACAGACGTTCTGAAACAACCCCTTTGCTTCTGCTGCAATGTGAGCCTTCTTTTCATTTTCTCTGATCTCTTTTAGAGTCGCGATGACAGCTTCGAGTGTGTGGTAAATTGCGGTGATGCTGTCCGCCCGACATGCCCATCTTGTATCAGACAATTTCTTCAGAACGTACTCACGCTTCTTTTTTCCTTCATCATCTGACGCATTCAACTTTCTCTGGTGTTTCAAGTACACAGCATGTCGTTTTGTGCAAGTTTCGATGAACACGTATAGATTTTGCAACGTTCCAAAGAAATCTCTTGCTATACTATTGTTACTCATTGTGTCCACGATGACCAGATTTAAAACATGAGCATAGCAATGTGTGTAAATTGCTGACGGGGAAATCTCTTTGATGCGTGCTTGCAGTCCGGTATGGATTCCAGACACGTTACTTGCACCATCATAACATTGTCCACGCATGTTTGAAAATTCTATCCCCCACTGTTGTAATTTCTCTCGGATGGTATGGAAAAGCGCTTCAGCTGTGGTTTCTTCCATAGGTTCTACAGCTAAAAGACGTTCTTCTATCACTCCATTCCAGACATAGCGAACAAGTACAGTTAACTGTTCCGTTTTACTAAGATCTGGTGTCTCATCTGCAATGATTGCATACATCTCGGCTCCTTTGACACGACGTATGATTTCGTCTAATATAGCTGAACCAACCACCTTGATCAACTGATTTTGGATCTCAGGGCTAGTGTATTTAGCGTTTTCTGAAATCGATAAAAAGAAATAATTACAGAATTATCATAATTACGACTTCAGTTTATCTTTATTATTCCTTATTCCATTCTATTATCATGCAGTTTCATATATCCCTATATTCCACCGAATATTCGTAGTAACCTTAACGTTACTGAACCAGTGAATGATATAGTTACCTGCAGAATTTCGTAAATGATCTTCAATAAGAGAATCAGACTTTGCTATATGTTCAAGAAATTCTTTAAACACCCCTTTGTTTAAAGAATTCTTATCCTCGCGGTGTTCCCTAAATGGTAAATTCAGTTTTCCAAGAAGTCGAACAACATCAATGATCTTACCAATTACAGTTCGGTTCTTTTTTACCTGAAAATAAAAGGATACAATTTTTAAAAAATCCTAACTGTGTTAACTTTATACGCGTCACTCAATTGTTTCTTAGGAATAAACGTATTACCAGGATTACCACCATATCACCGACATTTTTATGCAAAACTGGCGTTTTCACACACTTACTTCGTCTGTAATGTTGTGCACAGATGGCCTGTCAAAGTTATATATATTTGGCAAATGGCAATACGTACATTTTGTTGACGATATGACTCTTGTCTCTCATTTTCTTTGTCTATTTGATGATGTATTGGCTTCTGGGATTTCCAGTGACGATGAGCTTGAAGTGAATGCTTGTGGCAATCTGACTTCTCGTGCTTTGCGAAGACTTCGCTCTTTTTCCAGTTACTAAAACCAGTTTTGATGAAGGTAGGTTCACTCCTTGACGACGTCTGCATGCAAAGAAGACAAATGTCATTGTTTTACGTTGTCATAATATAAGAAGCGTTTCTTGTATTTTTATAATACATATCAACTATTTGACGATACGCAGAGAGGATGAATTATAGTTTGTTTGTGGAACTTTTCATACTTTTGCGATAATTAGTAATTATTTAAAACAACAGTATTGAGTATTACACATCGCATTTTGATATATAATTAAACACTACCAGGGCCATGGTCCATGTATAATTGCAAATTAAACGGTACGCATTAAGTGTAAACAACTTAACAAGGTTAGGACTAACTTAGGAAAATAATTAAAGCGCAAATCACACAATTAACTCACCTGTGCGTTGAACACTCTGCAGACGAAACAAAAAGCTTTATCCAACGAGACAGAATACTCTAACCAAGGAAATTTCTCATACCACGATACTAGAAACTTACGATTCCGGTTATCCAAAGGAAAATTTATATCTCTTGGCTGGCAAGGTCCTTTGCTTATAACGTGGTCCCTGGCTTCTCTTCCACTGGGCAAAGGACAGGAAGGTTCGTACTCATAAGACGAAAGATCTTGAGGAACAGAAGCTTCTGCCATTTTCATGTATACAATAGTCTGCG